CGCTGCAAGACTTAGATAAACAAATGCGTTGTCGAACTAGCCAAAAGAACTACGGGGTATTTATACTGGAGCACATCTACCCAATTAATCCTTTGACATGGACGACCTCAACTCTGCCGAGTTAAAACCAGGACATTCGAAGCCGTGTTCACTTTAAACATACTTCAAACGATCGAAAACCGTACTGTATTTATACAAGGTTTGTACATAAGCATTTCTAGTTGATGCCGGCCTCTGTACGTTTTAACGCAAATAACCACAAAATAAATGTGAAGCGTTAACGTTTAGATCTCGTGTTTATTTTTCAAAATTTGTTATAGCTGATTTGTAAGTAGCTTTTTACGAATTAGCTAATTATTCCCATAAAAAAATACAAAAAGAGAAAAACGATAGGATACGAGCTAAACCCATTTGAAAGCCATTGAGTTATTGAGAAGAATTTTTAGATAATTCAATTTGCTTTGAAAAATATCACTCCGCATCCAAATAAATTTGCATTTGAATTGCGAACTGTCAATATAAAATATACGACGTGCATATACCATAATAAACTTTCATATATTCGCAAAATTAATACTTTACTAACGCAAACCGAGATGATGCAAATCATAAAAGCACATACGGAGTAATCTCATATTCCCATATTATTACCCTCTTTTCGACGAAAAAACCGCCTAGCGTGAAATTAGTTTTGCACGTAATACGGCTTCGCGTAAAAGTTTAGAAAAAGTGCATGATGCAAACGAAATGTACGTCGAAAAATGATCGTTTTATACGTTCTAGGCGAATAAACGAAGTATTAATAAATATTTAATAGATAAAATATATCTCAAGGATTTAAGGAGTTTTTAAATGAAATAAAATTTTTAATTAACCTTTTCTACGTACATAGTTTTATTTCACTCATCAGTTTCAAGTCATAAGTACCTGAAATGTAAATTAATGGTTATTTTATTGAATCGTATAAGTACCTATACATCATTTTGTATCTAGCGAGAATTATGGAAGTTGACGAATCGAGATTAAATTGCTCGTGCACACAAAAAATTTAAATAGAATCAGGATTATTCAGCATAAAGAATTAACGTGGCATAATTTTAACCGAGTTTTCAGAAAAAAATCCCTAAAAACGTGTTACCCCTCGATTCAGATTTTAATATTTCAATAATAATTTTTGGGATACCCGCCAACTGTTAGTAGGAATCTCCATTCGTAACACTCGAAATTAGCGGCCGCCCTCCGAATTTCGGCAAAACCACGGTCAATTAACGGTTACGATCGCCTTCCTGGCGACCCTTTGTATGCTTTTTTTGTCAATTTTCTCTATAATCCCGAGAACAAATCACCATCCAATAACTGTAGCGTATTTCCCACCGCAAAAACAATTACGTTGGCAATTACGTCAGCGAATATTAAAACCAGAAATCAAAGCATGCCACGGTCGTGATTAAGATAATTTTATTACAGATCTCTGCACCAATCTAGCCATCTATTAGCGTCCTTTGTGTTCTGTTGTTGAACCGGGGGTTCCTATACCGTGACGCCGTTTGTTGTTTGGTGCTCCTCTAATTCCATGTCTATGTTCATTTTCGTTAAACGTAATTGAATTTAACGAGTAATAAAAATGTATCCCGTTAAATTGTTATCTAGCAAAAGGTTGTGCATAAAAAATACAGTGGCGCTTTAATTAGGAAAAACCCAAATGAGTTGCAATCGACTCGAATCGCTTTTCCCAAAAATAAATCACCAATTCAGAAAGCTAGACATATCTGCGTGACAGTTCGTTAGTTTTTTTCGGCGCACAAACACTTTTCCGTGCTCTTTCATGTCATTTTCTGTTTTTCACAAAATGTCCTCTTCCATTGCGTAACATCATTCGCCGTAATGGATTGCTTTTTCGGCGCGCAGCGTTTCAATTACTACGGTCCAGCAACTTCACTTAAGCAAAAAACGTGGCAACAACGACGAAACAACCAAACGAAAAGAAACAGGACGATCGCAGATGTAGTAGAAGGAGAGTGGCTACTCGAACTAATGCGGGTATTTTTAAATTTTGTAGAATTGGCGAACATCTTAAAAATCATTAATCTTCATCAATACAGCAGCAATCCAATAAAAGGATATTATTAACGAATTGTTAAAAGACACCAATTATTTGAAGTAAAACAAGTGAGTATTCCATCAAAATCATAAGTACAATGTTTCAACGGAGTTGGATTTCTTGTACCATTAATACGATCCGGCCAGACGGTTAAAGAGCCACTTTTGGTAAGAAAATAAAAGGACATTATTAATTTATTTTCAGTACAGAATTGAGATGTCAACACATTATCATCAATCTTGGTGATCGTTTGTCTTTTGTCGCTGACCGTTGGACGTTGCAAGTTCGAACCAGTAAACTCGGCATAAACCACTTGGCTCGCTGCGGTCTTTTGCGTCGACTTTCGGTCCTTTTCTTGCGAAACAAAAAACTGTCAGTAATATTTAATTTATCATCAGTTGACAGGTGCAGGGACTATTATTCATTGGGGAGCGGTGTACCCGTGGAAGGAAAATGTCAAGATAAAGCGGGAAATTCGTTGTATTTCCTATGAAAGTTATAAGTCACTTCGAAGGGACGTTATTAAAATGTAATAAATTAATTATGATAAGGGACGAACATTTACACCAATAGTCAGCTGAAAACGTAGATTAATTATTGTGTTACTATTTCCCTATTAAAGCGCTGGAGCAAATTCAACAAATGCAAATTGATGATCGGTTAAAAATTCAATTTAAAATTCAGCCATGTTAAAACTTTTAGACGGACGTTTTGTACAATTTTAAACTGTTGTTGAGCTAAACTATTTTAGTTAATTTCCCGTTGATTAAAAAAACGGGTAAAAAACGCTCTAAAGCTGGCTGTCAACATTAAATGAATTACTCGCGGAAGGTTTCGAATTCAGTGCACTCTTCCGACCAATCAGAACCTGAATTCCCAAGTAATTCTGCATTAACGGAAATTTAAATCTTGTTTTCACAAAACTTAATCAGCGTTTATCGATCACCAGCGAACGAGGTTATTTATCTGCGATGCTGTTTGACATTTCGACGACTTTTTAATTATCTTTAGGCTATTTTTGCCCGTCTATTTCGATATCGATCTGATGGTTTTTAGCTTTATTTAGTAGTCAAAGTTTCTTGAAGACCTTAATGAAGTACCTACTCACAACTTAATGTATAATTAAATAAATTGGTTTTCATTCATGATTTTTATTTTTTTGTCGAAAATTTACCTATATACCTACGATTAAATAAAAGGCAAATCTTTTATCTAGAAATAAGTGATATTTGTAGTAATTCTTCCTTTAACACATTTAAGTTAGACATTTTCCTCTCTGTGTTTACACACAAAGAGGACAATACGATTTATAGAAAGGATAAAGAGCAGGGAAGTGAGTGGGCAATCAAACTCGTATTTGTTTTACACTTCCCTTGTCTCAGCAAAAGACTATCTCAAATATTGACCTCGCGCTGAAAGATTAACAAAATCAACAATCATCATCTCTATAGATTTCGTCCACGATTGGCGGCTTTAGTTTTATCTGCTTTTTGCCATGTTTTCGCCGATCAAATAGTGCAGTCGATTGTATTATAATAGAAAATGGTATCATTTAGATTTAGATTGCATTCAATTCTCATTCATGAACAAAATTCCCGGGAATTTTTATTAATTGAATATGAAAATGTCACATATATTAACTTGTTCCAAACCTATTATATGAATAAAAATATGCTTGCTTGGATATTTAAGATCTTTAAATAATACACCTAATTTAATGAAGAGATTCGTGAGAACTTAACACTATTAGGCACTAAATTTTATAAAAAAATACAAAAAAAGGCATAATTGACTGTACTATGAGATAATTTCCTGGATCCTGGCTCCGAAAGCTAATGAAAACGGAATCAGTCGGAAGTCGATGTGCCGATGAGTCAGTTTGATAGAATTTACGGGCCTTCTTAACGGATAGCGCGTCGGATGTCTTTCGACGGCGTAGGACGCGCCGCGACGACGACGGCGGGTCACCGAGTAGCCGGCGATCTCGCTTTTAGGGGTTAGTTAAGTCCTTTGTTCCCCCATAAAGACAAATGAGGGGATTTACACTTATTTCAGAAGACGGTACGTGTTCGGGATGATAATACTTTTTCTCTTTTTCCTTTCGCTTCTCTTTGTTTTTAGTGCTCCCTAACTGAGAAAAAAATCGGTTGAATAATCGGTTCTAATAAAAACTATTTTGCTTCTAAAATGAATTGTTAATAATAGCTATAATTGCCTTCGATAGTTCACTAAAATTATTAAAATTCCTTTTGAATTTCTGATTCACAAACAATAATATTGTATTAATAAAAATGTATTGAAACAATCTAGAGTCTGGAGGCATTGCCTAGGCAGACTCAATCTCTATGCGGTTGAGTTCCTTTGGGTTTAATAATATTCCCAGGGTTACTAAAATCCTCCTTTGTAATGTTAATAATGAAAACGCAATATCGGCTCTAATGCGGACGAGCTAACAGAAGAGTCTATTATTGACTCCGACAAATGCATACTCAAGGGTGCCTGAGCTCCACTATGGAGGGATGTAAAACATCTTGGAAGGCACCGTGACTGCAATACATTATGGATAAACCGGACATCTCCCCGGACAATGGCCACGGTCGCCGGACGATTTGCCGACGAGAATTATAACACCGACGCAGGTGTATACGTTTGTGCGAAGCTACGGAAAGTGCAATTGCTAGTTCGTGCCTGAGGGCTCTATTTCCTGCACGCTCAGGCTCTAGTTAACTAATTCAGATTGCATAGTCGCTTAACATATTTTAGGTAAAGGACCAATATATTCTCATTAAGTTATACACAATTACCATAAATTATTATTACATATTCCAATTATCGTTAAAAAATAAACAAGTAATAACCGATATATTTATTCAAGTAAGTATAAATCGAATGTATTTTATCCCAATTGAAAATTAGTAGGTAAGTAGGTATAGATGTAAATTTTACGAAGACACCGTGACATTAATATTAATAGTAGACCTTATGGAAGAAAATATTTCTGAAAATAATTACGGTAAATTTGAAAAATGCTGTGCTATGTGTATATCATTCAGCTGTGTTACCTCAGGATTGCAGAAGTACATGCATTTGGAAAGTTCATACGCTGCCGCGCATTTATCATTCAAAGTAACAGCTACAAAAAGATAAATAACTCTTAGGAGAATTAGTGATTGAAATATACGTAAGAAAAGATAAATTGTAATTAAAGAGAATCTAATTTTTTTTGGTAAAATTTTTCAAATATAGTCAATCAAATATAAAAAATCTAAAATTAAATTATTATTTAATTTACCTTTATCTTGACATTGATCCATACAAACTTTTACAAAACTTCTGTAGCTATCCGGTAATTGAGCCAATTGAGTCATAGCCGATTCGTAATTGAAGGTATTATTTTTATGCATCTATAAAGTCAATACGATCAAAATAAAATTGTAATATTTAGCTACTCCTAATATACTTACCAATTTATACATATTAAGAGCGCAAAACATGTAGCACTGAAAGTTTAACCAAAATATTTATAAAGTAATAACCTATCAAAAAATAGACAATAAAAAAATTTACTTATGGCTCTAGTCTACAATAAAATATACTTGATATTTACCATAGCTGAATGATCAACGTTCCAATCTCCACTATGCATTTTCTCGATATCCTCTGAAAAAGGAATAGAATTCGAATTCGAAAGTTACGAATGTTACGCGAACATTTAAAAGTTCGAAAGAACTATTAACATGCTGACATTGTATGTAAAGTTATTTTATTATAAAACAATTTTATTCGAATTGGGACATTCACAAACATCGTCTGTGCATCCCGATTATGGAATTGTTGATGTTACTTACCATTAGAAGCCTTTGTTTTAGGTTGGCACATGTTTCTAGCCAACTTTACGGCTGCTTTCATTTGCTTTTCATTCAACTGAAAATCGACAATAAAACAGAACAAATTTCTTTCATTCACTGAATTTTTTCACTTACCCCCGTAACGTAAAGAACCATACACAATAGTAAAACGAATTTCATTTTGCACATATTTTTTATGAATGAGTTATCAAAGGCAATAAAACAATGAATGAAATTCTACTGCCGTCTTTGCTTATTAGTATATCCAAAGTTGTAGGAGAGCAACAAATTACAACTGAAAACAGTGGCATAGTTAGGTTTTTTTTTAGAATTAAGGGTACACACTCCAGTTAAAATTTTATTTTCCACTTTTTGCTACAATTACTCATTGCAAATAATTATTTTCAATAAAAATTTGGAATAGTGACTTTAAAAAAAATATTCTTTTAAAAATACTGGTTTGTTAAAAAATCAGGTATTAATCTCATTTCTATATCTAACACTCCTTTTTTACGCTACTGTAAAAAATCTTAATTACATAATTAATGAACTAATTATCCGCAGTCCTTCCGTTATAAGGCTATCATTAAATAGAAAATTCAACGCGAAAGTACTTATTTCCATAATTACTATTTGTTATACATGCGGGTCTCCAAACGAATAATTATCGCTTGAAAATTTTCTGAGAAAAACATTTTTTTAAAAGTTTAACGAATCTACAAATCTCATTCCGCAATGAATTAAATTCTAATAAAAAGTTAATGGCAAATTAAAATAAAGATCATCTTTGAAAATCGCTGTCCAAATCGTCAAGTTTTTCCAAATAAAACTCAGAAGAAAAAAATTATGGCAGTTCCGCCTTTCCAGCAACCTTTTAAACTCAAAATGGGTTCAAGACATTGAAAAGTTTCTCCTTCGCAGGAAGCAAGGCAAACTTTGTAGCGATGTCGAGATTGCAATTAATACTTCTTTCATGAAAATGAAAATAAAATTGGATTTAAAAAAGTTTTAGGTATCCAAGAATAACTTAGATATTGTTATGTGGCTCTGCGGAGGAACGAGAATTTGCCATTGAAACTGGGTAATTTTTTAAAAGGTACAAAGGAATTGCTTCAATTAGAATGAAATTCCGTAGGAGGTAGGTGGATAATAATAAAAATGGAAATTTATGAATTTATGTTTCACATTAATCTCTTTTTTAACCTATTTCTTTAATGTCTCAATTACTGTAATAAAATTAATTTTTCTTGTAAGGATACACCATTATTTTCTATCTAAACTTATTTGCTGGCATGAGTTAAAAATTACATCCAATTTCTTTGGGTTTTTGTATCCCCCAAAAAAAGGAAAACGGAAAAAAGGCTTGATGGAAGAGGGCTGTACTGTTGGGGCGGCGTCCAAAAGCCGTAAATATTTCACTCGGAATCGACGTCGTCCGAAGCTGGACAAAACGGCGTCTCGTAGCGCCGGGACGCGCTTGAATAATGAACCGGCGACCGCTAATTAGTGCAGGCCTTCGGGGCGCCGCACCGACACCTGCCAATAAAATTCGGCCGGGATTTATGAACCTGGAGTACCTCTTCTTTAGCCATTAGTTGGACAAAGCCATTCCACAATCCTCTCCATTGAAGTACTTATTTCAATAAAGTATGAAAAATTCTTTTCGATCTCGGTATTACTCCTATTTTGTGCGTAACTGTTTTGCAATTTCATTTTGGAATTGCAAATTGTAACTTTAATAAACATTCATTGCATCGGAAATAATTTGCCGCACCTTTTCGTACCGATTGGAACATGCGAACACACCGCAAACCTGTAAATTTGCGGTCGGTGATTTTCCGTGAACATTTCGAGTCGAATTTAACCCTCCATTAGTCAAAATCAATCAAAAGGAAGGGGGTAAAAATGGCGTTAGTGTAAAGCAATTACCAACTCCCAATGACCGGCTCCGTCGGAAATTGATTCGGAAATGTAAGGGATTCATTTGCCCTTTATTTGCGTATTAATATTTTCCTCGCCCTTTTCTTTCGGCGCTCCTTTAATTAGAGCCTTTTTTAAGGCGGCTTTGGGTCGACAGCCTTCATTTTTCCCCATTGATGTTTAATTTGATGGGCAAATGACAATGGAAATTGCTCGACGATAAATGGATTGGAAGAGAGACATCTTAAGATTTTTCGCTGCCAGAAGGAATTTTCATTAAAAAAATTTATTTTTTCAAAGATTCGAGGAAACGAACAGATTTCGTAATTAGCTTTACCGAAAGAAAAGGAATATTTAATTGTGGATATTGTTTTTTTCATGTCACTTAAAACAGGGACTTAAGTACTTCAAATTAGGTTACAATTCAAGTTATAATTACCAGCTTATAACGTTAGGTACTCGTAATAAAAAATATGAAAACATATAGAATTTAGGTAATTGATTTAAGATTTTTTGAATACAATGTAATTAAAAAACACCTAGGATTCATTAGGATTCACCTAGGATTCATTAACCACATCAAGACGAACGGATAATAAATCAGAGTTGGATTTGATGCAATTAAATTTCGACTGTGCAACGGAGTTCAGAAAGTTTTGAATCGCCGGAAGTTTTTAATCAAAGAACCAGCGAGAGCGGCGCGTGATTCAATTTTGAGCCGCAGAAGGCCCTATTGTCCTCTTCGGTGTTATGCAGCCTCTTGCATGCGAACTTAAAATTACGTTGTTATCAAGTTAGGTGGCCTTTTCTCCATCGTGTCCCGCTCACTCTCGTTCTATCGCCTTCCAACAGTTCCATCAATTCATTCCGAAGAGAATAGTCTCTATTGTCTAGGAGAATTAATATTCATTTTCATCGGCGATAAAACTGGTTCACTTTTAACAAAACTTGATAACAGCTTTCTTGTTTTAAACCATTATTATTGAAATTTTATTCAATATTCATTATATAATATTTTTTTCATTTATGGGATATACCTACTAAAATTACCCACTTATTTAATCATGTTGCAAAAAAAATCTTTATAAATACTGCAGAGTGCCAAAATGAGTTTGAAAATGTTTAATTAAATTTCAAGAGCCTCTGTAATTAACCGTCAACTTCTAAAATGTCTGGAAAGTGCATAGATATATTCCCTTTAGGAAAATTAACCTAAGCCTCGCTAGAAACCGAGTATTTTCTATTTATCTGATAAAATACACGCTTTAAAAGTGACTTTGTGCACAAGCCCCTCTTGACAAAATCCTTCATGTATGTATTCAGCGAGAGGCTGTGATCTCAGAGATGTTTGTTTTCACAGAGAAAGTTAACGAAGCGTTCTATCACGTAGAATTTCCTGCGGAAGTTGCAGGATATTTTTCGCTTCAGAAAATTCTTTCACGATTCATATAAGTTACCTGATTTTGTGGTTCTTCGGATTTTTCGTTCATCGGTTCTGGTTATAATATAAACCGGTTGCAATTTTTTCATCGACGACAAAAGGGAAGGTCTTAAGAAAGAAAATTTTAAAAATAGAACTTTATAAGATTTTACGCTCCAGTTTGCTTAGTTAACCCGATGTGATTTTAATACACCTAGATTTAATTAGTAATTTTTTATACAGGTATAAATAACCGTAAAAGTTTTTAGATATTACATTTTTAACGATTGATGAAAGTACGTTTAGGTATGTACTGCAAAAGTTTTCAATATTTTAAACACTTGACCAATAAAGCGCGCCCTGTTCAGCCTATATATTTTCCCGAATCGACCGAATGCCGCGAGCACAAATAAAATTGTAAAATAGATTGCGCGATAAATTCCGAAAGTATCAATTCCACTGTAACACGACAATAAATTATATTGTAAAATTATGTTAAAAAGAATGGGTTTCGGCGAACAGAACACTGGGAATAGAGCACTGCATCTAAATCGTATTATGGTTTAATGTTAGCGGTCTTCGACAGATGTGTCCTTTCTCAGTTGTCGATCTGTTCAATGTTTCAATATTTTTCGGTTTTAGAACACAGACGCGGAGTTTTTGCTTGACACTGAACATAAATTTATCTGCATTTTATTTTCCAAGTAATACCGGGAAAATATTTGATATTTATGTCTATTACGGAGACAATTTTAAAGCGTACCTATACCTATAAATTAGGAGAGCACGAAGTTTCATTAACAAAGAAAGTAGTTAAAGTAAACAAATTACTTATTATTGATCGTAGTACTTTGCAGCTAGTAAATACATTATCTAAATTTTACCAATGGAGAAAAAGCATCGGGTAGTAGCTGGAAAATATATTCGGATGCTGGCTCGCCCCAGCCTATTCCACCTTTTTACATCCAACTTTGTTCCTAATAAAGCAGTCGCGTTTTATTATTGACATTGCCTATCTAGTTTTATCCAATTTGAATAAATTTTCCGCTGAAATGTATTTACTATCCATTAAAGTAATGAATACTGCACAAAAAGTGGAGAAGGTACCTGCCCCGGGGCTTAAATAAAATCCGACTTCGTACGTATTTGCTTTGAATACGTAACCGAATAATGGAGTTACGATAGGAAAACAAACATTTGGCCTTCGGATTTTTTTATTTCTCTCCGGATCATATGAAATTTCACTCTAAATAAAATGATAAATATACCTAACTGAAACGTTTAGTATTAGTTAAATCGAGCGTTCATCCTATCTTGACTCAAACTAAAGGTCAGCGCTTGAAATAGTATCTTAGTGTGCTCAACGGAGTATTATTAAATTAGAGAATGATAATCCCTTCAAAGAAAAGGGTTGAGTTACAATAGTCTTAATGTCGATCCGCCTTAATCCTTTTTAAGTATTGTCTTCAGCCGGAATTGAATCAAGAACATGCAGTAGTTTATGGGATAGTAGTTAGCACTAACGAAGGAATAAGTAAGTACCTACACATAATTAAATAATGGAATATTGATTATAAAGTATCCAAACTTTGGAGTATTTTCAGCTACCTCTACCCAACGTTTTGTGAATTTCGTTAAAACTTTCCGGCTAATATTTACCTTATTTTGACTGAATTCGAATATCTTGAATATCATAGAGTTCAGACTGTCAGAAACGTAAGATAACAAAGTTATCTACAAGTTGTCGAAAAGTTTTACTCTTCAAGGCAATGCAGGAGATATGCCATTGTTCGCGTAGTGCTTCGTCGAAATTACGCTTGATTGGGTGAAAAGAAATTGGCAATAATCAAATTTGCGAAAATGATAAAGCAGG